GCCTGTCTTCCCACCCAGCAGAGCTGGGCTGTCAACTCACCCCTCTCTGTGGCTCTGTGCTCCCCACCCCGTTCCTCCCCAAGCAGGGCTTAGAAAGAAGACTGCCCTGCAGGCTCCCAGCCTGAGAAGCAACCTGCCTCCCTGAGCAAAGGCCTCCTCTTCCTCCCGTTCAGTCCCCTGCCCCCTAGGGGTGGGGTATGGGCGAGAGAGGACCCTTGGAAACGACCTGAGTCCCCTCTACCACAGGGGCCTCCTCCAGGGGGCCAGGCCGAGAGCAGGTAAGGATCAAGGCCGAGCGAGAGATGGGGATGAGGCCAGGTTCAGAAGGACCTAAACTCACTCCAGCTGTGACACCTAGACAAGGCCTGCTGACCGGCCATCTTCACGGGCGCTCCTTTTCCTCTGCCTCCTCCCTCCCTATTTCTCTCTCTCTTTTTCTCAACAACTCCCCCACCCAATTCTTCTTCCCTCTTTACCCAGAGTTCCCTCCTCCCTAAACCGAGTTTTGAGGCCCGTTAGTGTAACAGTCACCTCGGTGGCTCCTTAAAGACCAGGCTCTGGCTCTTGCCCCCAGGCATGCGACTCTGCAGCCTTGAGGCCTGGCCTGGGCATCTGCCTCTTTAACAAACCTGGAGATTCCGGTGGGCACCCAAGTTCAAGAACCCCTTGCTGTGGACAGAAAGGCCAGTCCAGCTGACACCTGAGTGTTCCGGTCCCTCTCTAGAACACGGTGCGTTTTCTTAACGCAATCCGCCCACAGAGCGACGGTGGCTGCAACATGGGAGCCAGCAGCCACAGCTGTCAGTGAAGGCATTTAGTCTGCGCCCTAAATACCCTCCTCCTGCCCGGGAACTGCCCCAAACAGCTGCCTGGTGCAAGAAAAGCTCAGGACACTCTCCTGGGCTCCAGTCACTCCGCTCTCTCTCTTTCCAAATTAGGGAAGCGGCCTGCTATCCTTGGACATGGCATTGGTATGGGAGCCGACTGACAACAGCCATGTCTGCAAATGGCAAACCCTGACGTCTGAAACCTCGGCAAGCTGCTTTGCTCTGACAGAGCTTAGATCTGCACACAAAGCTCCGTGCTGGGGAGGCTGCCCTGGAAGGTGCGGCTCCCGGAGTCAGACAGGGGAGGCTCCTGCTGAGCAAGGCGATGGGGGGGGGGCGCCTGGTCCTGGAGGAACTGCTTCTTTTCATTTCTTTCAACAAAAAAGCTTCATTCTACCCGGAGAAACCCAAAGCACTCACCGGAAAGGATGTGTGCACCTCGTGTGCCTGCAGGGCGTTACTTACAACGGCCAGGACGGAAGCAGCCCAAGCGCCCAAGCGCCGTCGATGGATAAATGGGCAGAGCGGCTTTGGGGCAGAACCATGGTGGAATATTACTCGGTCATAAAAAGAGTGAAATCTCGGCATTTGTGACAGCACGGAGGGTATATGCTAAGGGAAACAGTCAGAGAAAGACAAATACCATGTGACTTCCCTTATATGTGGAAACTAAAGAAAAAATAAACAAAATAGAAACAGACTCATAGAGACAGAGAACAGACTGATCATTGCGAGAGGGGAGGAGGGTTGGGTCTGGGTAAACAGGAGTAGGAAATACAAATTGGTGGTTCCAGAACAGTCACAGGGGTGTGAAATACAACCTGAGGAATACAGTCAGGAACACTGTGATAACCGTGTATGCTGCCAGGTGGGTACTGACAATATGGGGGGGGGGGCATTTTGTAAAGCATATGATTATCTCACCACTATGTTGTGCACCTGAAACTAATACAAAATAATACTGAACATAAACTGTAACTGAAAAATAAAATTCTAAATATTTTAAAAGACAAGGACACTTGAGCCTAAAAATAAAAAACAGCTTTATTGAGGTATAGTTACATACTATAAACTCACCCATTGCAATGGTCCATGAGTTTTAATGAACTCACATATATTTTAGTGAACTTATACATTAGGAATGAATTCCATTCCCCAGCACTTCCATCCACCCCAAAAGCTCCCTTTGTCCACATGCAGTCACTCCCCACTCCCACCTCAGCTCCAGGCAGTTCTGCCTTTTCTAAAACTTCCTATAAATGAATCATTCCCTATATAGCTTTGTCTGGTTACTTTCATTTAGTGAAATGTTTCTGAGGTCCATCCAGGTTGTTATATAACCAGTAGTTCGTTCCTTTTAAAAAAAAAAATTATATATATATATATATATATATATATATATATATATATATATTGATTTCAGAGAGAGAGAGGGTGAGATAGAAACATCAATGATGAGAAAGAATCATTGATTGACTGCTCCTGCATGCCTCCTGCTGGGGACTGAACCCATAACTAGGGAATGTGCCCTTGACTGGAATCGAACCCAAGACCTTTCAGTACACAAGTGGACGCTCTGTCCACTAAGCATAACCAGCTAGGGCTTGTTCCTTTCTCTTGCTGAGTAGTAGTCCACTGAGTGGATCCTTTCACTGTCTTGGTTTGCTCTTTGTTTAAATCTTCACCCAAGGATATGTGTAGGTTTGTTTGTTTTTTTTAAAGTTGATTTTAGAGAGAGAGAAACATCAATATGAGAAACTTCCATCAGTTGCCTCCCACTCTAACCAGAGATCAAACCTGCAACCTAGGTAGGTGCCTTGACTGAGAATCGAACCTACAACCTTTTGGTGTATGGAATGATGTTCCAAACAATTGAGCCACCCAGCCAGGGCTTGATTTGCTCTCTTAACGCTCTGAAACAACATGTTTTCCCATTGGATGATGAGAACTCCCCTACAACTAGAAACTCCAACGCTAGACAACGTGTCGCTGTCCCCGCTGGCAGTCCAGAAGAAACCACTGTGTGGGCTGGGGCCCAGCTGAGAGGGTAACTTTCTCAGCGCTGGTCCCACACACAGCTCTAGTCCTTCCATTTCAACTGGTGACACCTACTTCTCAGTGAACAAAACCACTGCATGTCTTTTTTAAAAGATATAATTATGCATGCAAAGTTTTCTTCTGAAAGCTGCTAGTGCCATTAGGTAATCACAGTTTTATGTGTATTTTACCATAAGAGGATCCATGTAAAAGTATGTGCCCTATCGTCTTACAAGCTGACCTGCCGTCTGTGGCGCACACGCTGTGCTCAGGCTCACAGCAGGCTGCAACGCAGGAAAGTGGTGGAAATGTGACATTCGGTGAACGTGCCCCACGCATCTATTTCGAGCGCATCTTCTCTGGTTCGAGTATCGCTGTGCGTGGCGTGCGCTACAAATACTTCCTCCGCTTCCGAGGCATTCTCCGAGCGCTTTCCCACATAGCCAGCATTCCGGGCCTCCGTCCCAGCCCGGCTCCTCTCCCACCGGCCCGCCCTTCCGGCCGCACAGCTGAGCGACCAAAGAGGCCGGAGGATGTGCTCAGCCAGCCTGGGAGCTCTTTATTTTTAACGGGATGATCACGATGTTTCTGACAGCACAGGAAATTCGACACGTGTTTATTGCTTCTTTGCAAAGGGCCCGATGCCAGGGTAGAAAGCCATGATTTATACGCCTCATTCATTCAGAAGCAACGTCTGCACCAACTGCCTGCTGGGGGCGAGGTACGAAATGGAGTAACTGTCATCCTCAAAGAATGTGCATGTGCGGCCTAAGGCAGGCAGGAGCTCAGGGTTGTTCTTAGGTGGCTCGTGTCTGTGATGAACTTTGGAGACCTCCGTGTTCTTTCTTTGGTTTGGTTTGGCAGAAAAAAACTGTGTTGGCATTCCTCTGGAGACAGAAATCCCCTGCTTCACCAGAACGCAAGTTTCTTTCCAACCAGAAGAGCACGCGTTAGCTGGATCCAGCTGCTTTCTGCGCGGATCGAAACCCGCCCTACGTTCTAACCTTGGCCTGAGAGGGGACACAGGATGCTCCCAAAGAGCCTGACCAGGAGCCAGAGCAGCCTGCGTGCTGATTCTGGCTTTGTTGCTGAGTAGCAGGGTGACCTTGAGCATGTCTTTGATTTCCCTCAGACTCAGTGATTCCATTTGGAAAAGGAAGACCCTGGTGTCTAAGTTCTTACGGTCCGCTCAGCAAGGAAACTCCATGAGGCCCTGTTCACTGAGGACACAAATCCCCCGCCACCCTGTCTGATAACCATAGCAGGTCACCCGCCTAAGACTTTATGACTTCCGTCCTTCAGGCATCCCACCCCTTTTCTTTCCATGGCTGCGTAATAAAGTGAAGTAAGAAACACGTCATTGATACAGGTTGATGTTTAAACTTTGATTTTGACTGTATAATAATGAGAAAAATAACTTTCATACTTTAAACACATATACTGGTACATATAAATATACTTATATGTAATACATCTATTCTTTCATGGAAATGAGAAAGCAAGTCATTAAGGTAGGCAAATTAGAAATGAGCCTTTTGGGTTTTAGGGTCATTTCTTTCCTACTCCTCCAACCTCCAGTCCCAACACTAACCAACCAGGAGGCTGGTGACAGGTCCCACAATGCCCTGCGGCTGCAAAGTAAAGGAAGGAGAAGACACCCGTCTTCATAATGTAAAAAGCAGTCTTTGCTCAGCCTTTGTGTCTTAATGATTAATTTCTTAGATATTTATAAAAGCTGCAGTAACATTTTTTATAAAAAACAAAAGATGTCCTAACTGGTTTGGCTCAGTGGATAGAGTGTCGGCCTGCAGACTGAAGGGTCCCAGGTTGGATTTTGGTCAAGGGCATGTACCTTGGTTGCAGGCACATCCCAAGTAGGAGGTGTGCAGGAGGCGGCTGATTGATGTTTCTCTCTCGTTGATGTTTCTAACTCTCTATCCCTTTCCCTTCCTCTCTGTAAAAAATCAATAAAATATATTTAAAAACAACAACAAAAGATGACAAAACATCAAAAACATAAAAATAAAAGATTAATGTTTATTCTGCTTTCTGTTGATCTGTTGTGAAGCAATTAGGTAGGCATAAGAAATCCTGGTATATTTTGATAAAACGTGGTTAAAATTCAAATATCACATCTTAGAAAGAAGTATAAATAATTATTTTGATTAAACAAATGTTTGTCAATTTTAAAAAGGGGAATCAAAAAAATTGACCTGAAGATACAGATATAAAACTTAGGTATAAAGTTCAATCAAATCTCCAATCCATTAGCCATGGAAAGATAATTATATAATCAGAAAATGACCCTTCCTGCCATCATGCTTCAGCTGAAAATGGAAAATAAAAAGCCTGGATAGGATGAAGGCTTGGGACAAAGGCCAGTGTTCTAGTGAGGCAAGAGTTACCACAGAGAGGCAATGACGAGGAAAGGTCTGATAATGTGAAGGTGAGCTGGATTAACGATGGAATCTTGTCATCAGTGAGAAAAGAGTTTTGGAAGTCTGGATGTAAGCTATAGAAAAGTAAATTTGAAGCAAATGCTGAAATCAGGTCCTGCTGCAAAGGACAGAAAATCCAAAGGAATAGAGACTTAAACATGATTTAAATGTTTTCTCCAAACATTCATATGATAGGTGCCTCAATCAAGAGAAACCCAGGTTCCTGCTAACGTGTTGCTCACCATCCTGAACATGCAGCTTCGCCGTAGGGGCCAAGACAGCCCCTCAAGCCCTACTTAGGCAGCAAGAAAAAAGTAGGGGGAACAAGCCCCCTCCACGTAAGGACACTTCTGAGAAGCGGCAAATACCATCTCTACATCTCGTGGCCTAGAATCTAGTCACATAGTCACAACACGCGTGGGAGGCTGGGGTTCTGAATTCTGGGTGCCCGTGCGCAGGTAAAAACTGGGATTCTGTTACTGTAGATTAGGGGTGTCGAACTCAATCAGAGAAGGGGCCAAAATCTAAAATCCAGCCTAAATCGCGGGCCGAATGGTTTACTGAACAGTCATAAACTGTCATTGTGATGGAAACGCAGTGGAGTGCAGTGATGACAGTGCGGTGCGGGCCACATTGCAAGGCCTGGCGGGACGGATTTGGCCCGCGGGCCTTGTGTTTGACACATGTGCTGTAGATGGATGCATGTGCAGTAAGGAATTTAACCGGGCCCAAGGAGAAGCCTGGACTTAGCCTTTGGCTTCAGATGGGTTGCCATGCTCAACAGGCGTCGCTGTTTAGGTTGGAGGCCGGCCATGGCAGAAAGGCTATGTGGGGGCTCTGGGTCATGTGGCCTTAGTCCAGCTTCATGAGGGGCTCCAATTGAGGTCAGCCATGTGGGAAGTGAGCATTATGACATGATGGGGCCCCAAGAAACACTGGGCTCCAAGCTTGGGTGAGCTTCCCTGGCTGGCAGGAGCACCGCTGACCATGGCTGCACAGGGAGGACAGTGGAAGCTCGGCGGGGGGCATCTTCCTGGACTCTGCCCTGCGTGCGTCTCCCCCGGCCGACTTCAAGCGGCATTCTTTTGCTGTAATAAGTGATAACCTGGGTACCACAGCCTTCAGTGATACCGTGAGCCTTTCCAGCAGAGGGCTGAAACTGGAATGGTTTGGGGATTTCCCTGAACCTGTAATTGGTCTCAGAAGTGAGAGTGGCTTTATGCAGACTGAGCTCACTAACATCCCATCCATCCCAGCCATTCCCTCCCAATAACACAGGAGCAAGAGGACAAGGCTGCATGTGGCCTGAGGCTCTATGTGATCCAGGTCTTATCTGCCTGGCCTGAAAACAAAGATTCTTTTTTTTTTTAAATATATTTTTTATTGATTTTACACAGAGAGAAACTGAGAGGGATAGAGAGTTAGAAACGTCGATGAGAGAAAATCGACCAGCTGCCTCTTGCACACCCCCTACTGGGGATGTGCCTGCAACCAAGGAACATGCCCTTGACTGGAATTGAACCCGGGACCTTTCAGTCTGCAGGCCGATGCTCTATCCACTGAGCCAAACGGGTCTTGGCAAAAAAAAAAAAGATTCTGATATCTGAACAAACATCATTTATACTAGTGGCTGTTGCAGGAAAATCCCTGCAATAGGGCTTCCTGCTGCGGTCGCTGCCTTGCCTGCTTTCCTCCCTTCTCTGCCGCCCTGCTTGTTTCTCTGCAGCTTCCCTCCCTTCTGCAGACTTATCTTCTTTTTAGCCTGTCTTGATATGCAAATTACCCGACATCTTGGTTGGGTTAATTTGCATACGTGCCCTGATTGGCTGGTGGGTGTGGCTTGTGTGGTGGAGTGATGGCTAATTTTCATATTACTCTATTATTAGGTTAGATGACATCCCAGCATGCTGCAATCCAAGACATTCCGCTGTAGAAGTGGGAGTGGGGGATGCTGGTAGAGAACAGCAAACTACCCCAGCACAACCTGCCCATTCAGCCACCCAGCTATCCCCACGCGTGTCTGCCCGCCTGTCTGTAGTCATACCTCTCTCGGGAGCAGCACCCTCAAGGTCCCATGGAAGCACAGCCTGCAGCGCCAGCACCGGCATCTGGGGCGGAGCGCAGAGCTCTTCTGGCTCAGAGGGGCTCCTCTGGTCTGGAAGCCCATCAAGAACAGAACAGGCATCTGCCTCAGTGAGCAGCACCCCACGGCGCAGCCGGAAAAGAACAGTGGAATAGACTCTCCCATTTGGAAAGAAGGTTCACGGGAGAGACCCAGCACCTTGGCCTGCAGCACTGAGCCAATCCTATGGACGGTGAGCGTCCCCTTCTCTGGCAAAGGCGCATGTCGTGGTCAGCGTCTGAGTGCCTCCAGCTGTGGGACAGTCTCCCGCTCATCACCCTCCCAGCTGCCCTGAGGGAGGACAGCCTTGTCCCCCATCTATAAAAGCCACATCAGGAGGGAGCACTGGCCCAGCCAGCGTGGCTCAGGGGTTGAGCGTCGACTTGTGAATCAGGAGGTCACGGTTTGATTCCCGGTCAGGGCACAGGCCTGAGTTGCCGGACTGATCCTCAAGTGTGGGGCGTACGGGAGGCAGCTGATCAATGCTTCTCTCTCATCACTGATGTTCTATCTCTCTCCCCCTCTGCCTTCCCCTCTGAAAGAAATTTTTAAAATAAAATAAAAAGAAGTGAGTGCTGGAGGGTTTACCCATTTGGGAACCGAGCAGCATGGGAATGAGGGGTGCCTGCGGGGTTGCTCAGGGGTAGCAGGCCAGTTCGCGGTCCCTTTAACAACACGATGACGGAAGGACGACGACGAACACCTGAGAATTAAAATATTTGGGACGCCCGTATCCTAGGAAAGGACTGTTGTTTTGCTTTGGCAGCCCCGCTCCATTTTCAAGAACCACAGCCCAGATCCCCGCCTGGACTTTGTGCTGTTTTCTTTCTGCCTGAAGTGGTCTGTCCTTTGGCTGCTGGTCGCTCTGCTCCCCCAGCCCCTCTCTTCCAGTCACTGGTCGCTAGCCACCTTCCAATCTTAGGGAATGAAGGACTCTCCTGGAAGGCAGCACCCTGACACGGGCATCTGCCTCTGGATTGTCTGGCAGAGAAACTGAAAATATGAAGCCCTTCGTTCAACTCTGAGATGTCAGGGATGCCACCTGCCCAGGCCGCCTTTGCTTGAGGGGGACGCGGGGGGGGCGTTGAGTCCACTCATTACCAGCTTCTCCATCACATCGAGCCGGGCACAGAGCTTCCCTGGCGGAGCAATGCTGCCCACTCTGCTACAGCCTGGCTGGCTGCTCCCCAACTTCACGTCTGTCCGGGCTCTGCAGGAAATGGCAGGAAGTAGCTGAACGTGCCCCAAATTCTGAAATTTTCCGACCAGTTTTTCCTAACGCTCGGCCTCGGTCAACTGGGAGTATGCCTCCTAAAGTACCACAGGAACCTGCCACCAACTGCCTCACGGCCACAGACCGGCGGGAGAAGGCAGCCAGTGCCCCTGACTACACAGTTGGGTATTGCATGTTTGACAAATTCCTGGGGCACACGGGTTGAAAATCACTAGTCTGATCCAACACTTTGCCTTCAGATTAGGAATAATAAGGAAACTGTCCAGATAAGCCAAGGAGACCTCGGTGATGATGGAGAAAAGAAGCCAACGGGGCCACAAGTCAGATGGAACAAAGGAGGCCTCGTCTGGAGGAGGAGCCCGTGGCTGGCAGCCGCTGTCCTGCTCAGCCAGGGTCCGAGAGGGGGAACCACAACGAGGAACTTCCCCATAGAATTGTGGTACCACCTGGCATCTCCTCGCCACTGGGCCCTTCTGGAATATCCGGAAAACCCAGGAGTCCCTGAAGGAGACAGCAGCCCAGCTAATGAGATTGGATGCGGTCAAAACGGACACAGCCCAGGCAGCCGGCCAGGAGCTGGAGGGTAAGGAGCCTGGGCTGCTCTTGGCCCTGCGTCCTCTGCACCCCTCCTGGCTGTGGGGCCAGCGGGCACTCTGGCAGCTGCCCCAGGGCTGGAGGGAACCTGGCCTCCATCAGTTTTGCCAGCCCTGACATGTTCTTAGGCATTCATGAGCGATGGCAGGACATCAAGGTAATTTTGGCGATTTCTGCCACCATAACATCTTTCACAAAGGCTTCGCTTATTCTTTTTTTTTTTTTTTTTTTTATATATTTTATTGATTTTTTTTACAGAGAGGAAGGAAGGATAGAGAGTTAGAAACACTGATGAGAGAGAATCATCGACCAGCTGCCTTCTGCACACCCCCAACTGTGGATGTGCCCGCAACCAATGTACATGCCCTAGACCGGAATCGAACCCAGGACCTTTCAGTCCACAGACCGACGCTCTATCTACTGAGCCAAACCGGTTTTGGCTCGCCTATTCTTTAAAGAATTATTAACTTAAACCCGTGGCACACATTTTTGGGGCTTGTTTTGCATGAGTTCTGGCTACACTTGTTATAAAAACTAGAGGCCTGATGCATGAAATTCATGCAGGAGTAGGCCTTCCTTCCCCCAGTTGCTGGCACCAGCTTCCTTCTGGCACCTGGGACCCAGGCTTCCCTCTCGCCACGGCTTGGTCTGGAAGGACATCCGTCTCAGTAGCATATTATGCTTTTATTCTAGATTTTTCTCTTAGTGGACGTACATGTAAGAATTTTGAGTGACTCGGTACACAGTCAGGACACAATGGTCCCCAGTTGCCACGCTGTAGGAACTGCCAGTTGGCCCATCAGCAGCCTCTTCGTGGTAAACACATGCTACATCGCGGTGGGTCAATGGATAGCGACAGCACAGCCAGGGAAAGAGGTATGTGGCTCGGTGTTAGCTTTACACAGGCTGAATTATCAGATGGCTCTGAGAAGGATATTAATGTAAGAAATAGAACATATGGTTTTAACAAGTTTTCCTTTCCTTTCCTGATATTCCTTTCCTTCCTTGCCTTTTTAATACCAAGTTTCTGATGCAGTATAAATGTTTCTCCTGTGAAGGGGCAAGGATCTTCTGTATGGAAGAAGGTCCGGAAACGAATAAATTAAGTTTGTATATATAGCTTATAACAACTCCATCTTGAACTTGACAAAATCCACTATATGTTTGCTTAAGATCACTTAAAAGTGGTTTCTGGTTCTTGCAGTTGAAATAATCCCAACTCTGCCTCATAGATTGCTTTTTGCTTTAAAAAAAAAAAAAAAAAGCTAATCTATATCTATATCTAAAAAGAGGTAATATGCAAATTAGGCTGGGAAGACCTAACGGTCATGACCAGCTCAGGAGGAAGGGCCTGGCGTGAGCCCAGAGCCTGAGAGAACAGACAGCACGACCCACGCCTGGCCTGGGAACCAGAGAGAATAACATGCAGGGGGGCGGCCCCCAGCCCCAGCTCCTAGGCCATGGCTGGGGACTCGGTTTGATTCTGATCAAGGGCATGTACCTAGGTTGTAGGCTCCTCCCTGGCCAGGGCCCGTCAGGGTTTATGCAGGAGATAATTGAAGTGTGCCTCTCACACTGATGTTTCTCTCTGTCTTTCCTTCTCTCTTTTATGCTCTCTAAAAATCAATGGGAAAATATCCTCATGTGAGGATTAAAAGGAAGGAAGGAAGGAAGGAAGGAAGGAAGGAAGGAAGGAAGGAAGGAAGAAAGGAAGGAAGAAAGAAAGGTCATATCCTATGAAAGAGACATCTTGAAAATGCCTAAAGAAAGTTGTCATTTTTTCATGGTAAAGGGACTGGAGCCCGTGTTGATGAAAATACCTTGGCGGCTGCAGCAGTCAGCAGTGGCAGCAGCAGTAGGGTGATGGAGGTGACACTTTCCCCTGATCAGTCCGGTCGCCTCCCACAGAGGGAGGCCAGACTCCGGCTTAGGCAGGCCCGCTCCCTATGGGAAGTGGGCCTAAGCCGTCAGTAGGACATCCCCTGAGGGCTCACGGACTATGAGGGGGGGCAGGCTGGGCTGAAAGACCCCACCCCCCAGTGCACGAATTTTGTGCATCGGGCCTCTAGTGGTAAATATATTTTAAAATTTTAATAATAAATACCTTAAAATTTACGGTATTTTTTGAAATAATATATTTGTGAGAAGAGAAAAAAAGAACAAAAGGCACCTGTGGTTCTAATTATCTCAGAACAGACACTGTTAATACCTGGGAGCATTTCTTTTTCTGCTAGGCCGTGTGTGTTGTGTGTGTGTGTGTGTGTGTGTGTGTGTGTGTGTATATTGCATGTTTTTGTTTGTTTGACTATTTTTCATAGCTATGATCATATTATAAAATTCTCTCTTCTGCAATAGCCATTTATCATTTCTGTTGTGTGAGTGGACTGAGGCTCAGCTGAG